GTTGTTTTCTGTCAAGTGAAAAGGGGGGATCATGTATGGATTCAAACATCTTCACATACTACTGAAAACGTTTTTGCAGTTCCTAGTACAAGTAAAAGTTCCTTCACGGGGATGTTAGTTCATGAAAATTAGATTTATCATAGTTGGTGTTGATTTATAATGATTTATACGAATTTAAAAGAGGCGGCATGGAAAGTGGTATAAGAGACATATACTCTGACTGTATGTAGTTTGTCTTCTTATTCGGCAAAATATAATGTTTTGTTCATGTATTTCCGATGTATTTATTTGTTATTTTCAAATAAAAATCATTATTGCCATTTCTAAATAGTAATTGTATAAGCCATATGCAAGATAAAGGGGTATGTATACCTGTCACTTTGTGGTTGGGATAGTCATTTTTTCAGATACTTTTAAACCTAGGGTCTGTTCAATATTCGTTGTTGTTACTGTTCTGTTTGAAGAATTTATTCTCATGCCAATCTCACAATGTTTGATATATGTTTAAAAACATTCTGTATATTGTAACCCATTCAGTGAAATCTTTACTAACTGTTTTGATTATTGTTTCCTTGTTTTGTTATAAAACTTAAACATATCGTCAATTTCAACCTTGCTTGTTTTTTTGTGTGGAGTTTTTATAAATGTACACATCGATCTTGTGCCATGGCCATGGCCATGTTTTATGTTTTATGTATATATATTTTTTTTAAAGTTTCCATGTCTATCAAATCTTTTGATGGGCAACGAATGATTGATTTTAGGACTTCACAACTTTATATGAACTAATTGATTAATATAAAATATATTCCTTCAAAGACAAGGGAGTGAGTTTAAAAAAAATATGCCCAGACTAGGAAGTCAAAAGTGACACTGTTAAAAGTTAATAGTTGAAGACCATCCCGTCAGTGATGTTCGTTATATCCTTTCATTGTAGTTAATATGAGTGTTGTCTCGTGTATAATTATTAATATGATTTATCAATAACCAATAATTAAAAATTGAATTGTATAAATTTCGATATTAATCGTATTCCATGGGGATTTTTTCTCTCAGGTCAACAAAGACAATACAACCATTGTTGTACCTATATTTTGGTATAGCACAAGGATATGCTTTCGCGGACTTTTTATGGTGTCATTTCATAAAATCTTGTTGGATGTATACTGATTGATACTTAAGTCTGGCAGAACAATATTTATTATAAGTTATAATTGGCTTTAAAATTGTAGCTTTAAGTCACTGCTAGTACTCTAAGATCAGTACATTGTGTCTTTATCTTTATTGATAGTTGTGTTTGTGTGCTTCGTAACAATCTAATGAGTGAAGTCATCGAATTTTACAGTTTGTTCTAATGCTGTGCTGTCCCAGGTTAGGGGAGGGTTGAACGCTCACAAACATGGTATGTATGTGCCTGTCCCAAGTCAGGAGCCTGTAATTCAGTGGTTGTCATTTGTTGCTGTATTTTATATTTGTTTTTCGCTCATTGTTTTGTACATAAATCAAGATGTTAGTTTTCTCTTTTGAACTGTTTTACATTTATCATTTCGGGGCCTTTATATAACTGATCATGCGGTATGGGTTTTGCTCATTGTTGAAGGCATAACAGTGACCTAAATTTGTTAACTTCTATGTCATTTGGTCTCTGGCGGATCATTGCCACATCATCTTATTATATATTTTATATTAATCCTACTACATTATTTAAGTGTCTCTCCCAAGTCCCGAGCCTGTAATTTAGTGGTTGTTGTTAGTTGCTGTCTGCCATATTTGTTTTTCGATTACTGTTTTGTACATAGGCCGTTAATATTCTTGTTCAAATTGTTTGACAGTGTGTCACGTTGGTGCCTTTTATAACTGACTTTTTAGTATGGTTTCACATTTACATTACGTACATCCCTGAGACAGTGTTTTTACCTTGACTACCATCCCTGACACAGTGTTTACCTGGACCACCATCCCTAAAACAATGTTTACCTTAACAACCGTCCCTGAAACCGTATTTACCTTGAGTACCATCCCTGACACAATGTTAACCTGGGCCACAATCACTGAGACAGTGTTTACCTTGACTACCATTCCTGAGATAGTCTTTACCTTGACTACCATCCATGAGACAGTGTTTACCTTGACTACCTTCCCTGAGACAGTGTTTTAACTTGACTATCATACCTGAGACAGTGTTTTTACCTTGATTACCATCCCTGACACAGTGTATTCCTGGACCACCATCCCTGAGACAGTGTTTACCTTGACTACATTCCCTGAGACAGTGTTTTTACCTTGACTACCATCCCTGAGACAGTGGTTTTACCTTGACTACCATCCCTGACACAGTGTTTACCTGGACCACCCTCCCTGAAACAATGTTTACCTTAACTACCATCCCTGAGACAGTGTTTTTACCTTGACTACCATCCCTGAAACAGTGTTTACCTTAACTACCATCCCTGACACAGTGTTTACCTGGGCCACCATCCCTGAGACAGTATTTACCTTGACTACTAGTACCTTACCTGAGACAGTGTTTTAACTTGACTATCATACCTGAGACAGTGTTTTACCTTGACTACCATCCCTGACACAGTGTATTCTTGGACCACCATCCCTGAGACAGTGTTTACCTTGACTACATTCCCTGAGACAGTGCATTTTGCCTTGACTATCATACCTGAGACTATGTTTTAACATTGACTACAATCCCTGAGACAGTGGTTATACCTTGACTACCATCCCTGACACAATGTTTACCTGGACCACCATCGCTGAGACAATGTTAACCTGGACCACCATCCCTTAGACAGTGTTTATCATGACTACCATCCCTGAGACAGTGTTTACCTGGACTACCATCCCTGAGATAGTGTTTTCCTGGACCACTTTCCCTGAGACAGTGTTTTTGCCTTCACTATCATATCCGAGACAGTTTTTTTACCTTGACTACCATCCCTGAGACAGTTTTTATTTAAACTACCATCCCTGACACAGTGTTTACCTTAAAAACCATCCCTGAGACCATGTTTTTTGCCTTGACTATCATCCCTGAGACAGTGTTTTTACCTTGACTACCTTCCCTGAGACAGTGTTTACCTGGACCACCATCCCTGAGACAGTTTTAACCGTGACTGCCTTCCCTGAGACCGTATTTACCTTGACTTCCATCCCTGAGACAGTGTCTACCTTAACTACCATCCCTGACAAAGTGTTTACCTGGACCACCATCCCCGAGACAGTGTTTACCTTGACTACCATCCCTGAGACAGTGTTTACCTTGATTGCCTTCCCTGAGACAGTTTTTACCTTAATTATCATCCCTGAGACAGTTTACCTAGACTACCATCCCCGAGACAGTGTTTACCTTGACTACCATCCATGACACAGTGTTTACCTGGAACACTATCCCTGACACAGCGTTTACCTGGACCGCCATCCCTGAGACAATGTTTACCTTGACTATCTTCCCTGAGACAGTGTTTTTACCTTAACTACCATCCCTAAGACAGTGTTTTTACATTGACTACCATCCCTGAGACAGTGTTTTTACCTTGAATACAATCCCTGACACTGTGTTTAGCTTGACCACCATCCCTGAGACAGTGTTTTTACCTTAATTACCTTCTCTGAGACAGTGTTAACCGTGACTGCCTTCCCTGAGACAGTGTTTACCTTGTCTACCTTCCCTGAGACAGTGTTTTACCTTGACTATTATCCCTGAGACAGTGTTTTTTAGCTTGACTGTCATCACTGACACAGTGTTTAACTTGACTACCTTCCCTGAGACAGTGTTACCTTGACTGCCTTCCCTGGGACAGTGTTTACCTTGACTACCATCCCTAAAGCAGTGTTTTACCTTGACTACCATCCCGGAGTCAGTGTTTTTTGCCTTGACTATCATCACTGAGACAGTGTTAACCTTGACTACCTTCCCCGAGACAGTGTTTTAACTTGACTACCATACCTGAGACAGTGTTTTTTTACTACCATCCCTGAGACAGTGTTTACCTTGATTATCTTCCCTGAGACAGTGTTTTTACCTTGAATACCTTCCCTGAGACAGTGTTTTTTTACTACCATCCCTGAGACAGTGTTTTTACCTTGACTACCTGCCCCCAGACAGTTTTTTTTACCTTGACTAACATCCATGAGACAGTGTTTCTACTCCGACTACTATCAATGATACAGAGTGTCAATTCAAATTATTAAAATATTAAATATTAGATTTAATAAATTTTGAAAACATTTGACAAAATTAAATTTTGATTCAATGAAGATCTATCTATAAATACCTTAGGGAGCTACCATTTGATTTTTAGGGGGGGATGGAGGGAGGGGTTTGGGGGGGTAGGATGAAATTTGAAAAAATAGGCAGGACAGAAGTTTTGAGTAAATGAGCAACTTGGCAAAAAAAAGGCAGGATGACAAATTATGTATAAAAAGTCAGGATAAACTAATAAAAAAAAAGGCCGGACCAAATAAAGTGAAAAATAAAAAGGCAGGACCGAGATTACAACTAAAAAAAATGCAGGACACAATTTTTCATCCTATTATATAACAAGAGTGCGCACGCTGAAATGTCTCGCCTTCTTTACTAACCATTGATATTATGTTGATAGTCCTAAATATAAAGCTTTACTACAACTATAAACTTAACATGATCCAAGAAAACGAGGTCAAGGTCATATAAACCGAAGGAGAAATACATGTACACCTTACAATCATTCAATACACTAAATATATTTGACCTATTGCTTATAGTTTCTAAGAAACAGACTTAACCAAGACAAAGTTCAGCAGGAAAACTTAACATTGACCAATGAGCCATGTAAATCAGGTCAAGGTCATATGATATCTGGTAGACAGACATAAACACCTCATAAACATTCCATACATCAAATATAGTTCACTTATCAAACAGTATAAGAATAAAAATGGAACAAGACACAAAAAAATTTACACTGAGCAATGAACTGTGAAAATCAGGTCACTGTCAGATGACACCAACCAGCTAGACATGTACACCTTACAATCATTCCATACACCGAATATAGTAGACCTATTGCAAACAGTATGAGAAAAACAGACTAAAACACAAAAACTTAAGTAAAACCACCAAACTATGAAAATGAGGTCAAGGTCAGATGACACCTGCCAACTAGACATGTTCACCTTACAATCATTCCATACACCTAATATAGTAGACCTATTGCATCCAGTATAAGAAAAACAGACCAAAACACAAGAACTTAACACTGATCAATGAACCGTGAAAATGAGGTCAAGGTCAAATGAAACCTGCGCGACTGCATATAGAATATAAAATATTTCCATTCACCAAATATAGTAGACCTATTGCTAAAGTATAAGAAAAAAAGACCAAAACTCAAAAACTTAACTTTGACCACTGAACCATGAAAATGAGGTCAAGGTCAGATGACACCTGCCAGCTAGACATGTTCACCTTACAATCATTCCATACACCAAATATAGTAGACCTATTGCATACAGTATAAGAAAAACAGACCAAAACACAAAAACTTAACTATAACCACTGAACCATGAAAATGAGGTCAAGGTCAGATGACACCTGCCAGTTGGACATGTACACCTTACAGTCCTTCCATACACCGAATATACTAGACCTATTGCTTATAGTATCTGAGATATGGACTTGACCACCAAAACTTAACCTTGTTCACTGATCCATGAAATGAGGTCGAGGTCAAGTGAAAACTGTCTGACAGGCATGAGGACCTTGCAAGGTACGCACATACCAAATATAGTTATCCTATTACTTATAAAAAGAGAGAATTTAACATTACAAAAAATATTAACTTTTTTTTTCAAATAGTCACTGAACCATGAAAATGAGGTCAAGGACATTGTACATGTGACTGACGGAAACTTCGTAACATGAGGCCGCCAGATCACTATCCCTATGTCGAGCTTTCTGCAACAAAAGTCGCAGGCTCGACAAAAATTAATTTTAGGAATATTATTTTATTATATATATTATATAAAAAATATCATTACTTTTTAAAAACGGGAAATGAAGAGGGATATAATTGTTATACACTTGTGCACTTTCATGGTACTACAATCTGTCAATACCTAGAATTATGGCATTACACGAGGTAATGTTTTTCTCTGACTGTTTATGACATCTTTACACTAAATCTGTTGGATGTTGGATGTGTACTGATTGATTTTTTAGTCTTAGATACATGATTTTTTTAATTAGTTGTTATTGGCTTTAAACTAGCTGGCAGTAACCTTGAGTACTCTCAAATCTGTACTTTGTGTCTTTTTTGTTGTTGTTAGGGATGTATAATCAACCTGCCATGTCCCATCGTTATTTTTGTAAAATGTGTTTTTCTGTGCTGTAACACCAATGTCCCAGGTTAGGGGTAGGGTTGAGTGCTCACAATCATGTTTAACCCCGCCACATTCTTTATGTGCATGCCCAAGTCAGGAGCATATAGTTCAGTGGTTGTCGTTGGTTCATGCTCATCATATTTGCTTTCGTACATTGTTTTGTCATGAATTAGGCAGCTAGTTTTCTCAATTGAATTGTTTCAGATTTTTCATGTCAGGGCCTTTTATAGCCGACTGTATGGTATGGGTTTTTCTCATTGTTGAAGGCCGTACAGTTCCCTATAACTGCTTACATCCACTTAATTTGAACTTAGGTGGATAGTTGTGTCAGTGGCAATCATAACACATCTCCTTATTTTTATAATGAAGAGGAAACACCATATGATAAATACAATTCAAATTGGTATTGACAAAAATTCATAAATACAAATATATATATAAATCACATGTTTTTATTATAAAAATGCAAATCACATTTAAACTATAACAAATAAATATGAATATTCAAATGTTTAGAGACTTCTTGGTTCATTATATGGTTGTTTTATTGTCTTGCAATGTCATCTTAGTTTCTTTACCTGCAAAAAAATATGAATAAATAAATACATTATATATAAATATAAATATAAAAATAAATAAATTATTTTGTAAATCCAAAATTTCTGCTTTTATAGAGCAAGTGCATTAGACCGTTTATTATACCTTAAAATTAATGGAAGTAAAAAACCTACAATTGCATTTACACGTATAATTTTTTCTAATTTATTGACCGTATTTCTAGTTAAAAAGAGAAATTCATCAAAAAAATAACAAACTCTCCTAACAAACAATAGAAACTGCTCTAAGTTGTCATAGAAATGTAACAACTAGGTAATCTGGGATTACTACATTTATGTCTCAAGTGTACCACTTAAATAGGAGACGAAACAAAAAAATTTTAGTGTCAAAGAAAACACTCTATGCAAATGCTAGGTACCAGTAGAAAGGAAAAAGTAAAATAACAAAAATACCAAACTGGTACAGGCATTTCCTTATTAATGTAGAAAATGGTGGACTAAACCTTGTTTTATAGCTAGCTAAACCTCTCACTTGTATGACAGTCGCAGAAAATACAGACATAATTTTTCAGAGAAAAGTTCCAGAGTTGAATCAAGTTTGAAATCACATTTGTAGTAGTTAAGCTATAGTTCTAATAATAACAAATAATAATGAAATAATTTTCTCCCACATTAGACTAGTAAGAAATTTGCATGTACAAAGAATTGTCTAAATAAAGAAATAAACAACTTGCACCATCTACATAGTATATAGTATAATATTCCACTTATAAGTAGCAAAATTCTAAATTTCAGTCATATGGGAGGTATTATTGAACTATATACTTTATAAAAAAATAAAAAATTTGTTAGGGAGGTACAGGGAATTTGCAAATAGTTAAGGAGGCGGGTAAGTGGAAGTATTGAAGTGGACTATACTACTAAACTAGAGGTTCCAAGGAGCCTGTGTCGCTCACCTGATATTTTTGTTTACAATTGATGCATGAAACAATGCGATAATAATACTTTTTTTAAAGGAATCTTTGTGGATCAAAAAAGTTCGACAGAACACTGCCATTTTTAGACACAATTAAACAGAAAAAACTTCAAAAATACTCTGTTGACATTTCAATATTAATTAATTCGTAGATCTTGTCTTGCTGATCATTTATTCCTGTTACAGTTTCTTTCTATCTATTATACATTTTTAGATATCAGCCTAAAACAGCAGAAATTGGTAGAAATCGTCATAAAAGGGCAATAACTCAATAAAAAGTCGTCTGATGATTTCTGCCATGTTTGACTTATTTGGAGATCTTGTTGAACTGATCATTTTTGCTTATTTAAGTTTCTAAATATCTGTAATTGTTTTCAAAATGATATGCAAAAATAAAAAATTATAATAAAATTTGTCATTTAAGGGCAATAACTCCTATAAGAAGTCTTCTGACTGTTTTGACTTAAAAGGACAGTAGGTAGATTGCAACATTTTGAACATTTTTGCCCTTGTTAGATTTTCTCTACTCATAGCAGTTTTCAAGATAATAGACACAACTTGCATTTTACCCCTATGTTCTATTTTTAGCTATGGCTGCCATGTTGGTTGGCAGGCAGGGTCATCGGACACATTTTTTTAACTAGATACCATATTTATGATTGTGGCCAAGTTTGGTGAATTTGTCTGTGTAGTTTCAGAGGAAAAGATATTTGTAAAAGATTACAAAAATTTACGAAAAATTGTTAAAAAATTGATTATAAAGGGCAATAACTCCTTAAGGGGTCAATTGACAATTTTGGTCATGTTGACTTATTTGTAGATCTCACTTTGCTGAACATTATTGCTGCTTACAGTTTATCTCTATCTATAATAGTATTCAAGATAATACATGTAATAACCAAAAACAGCAAAATTTCCTTAAAATTACTAATTCAGGGGCAGCAACCAAACAACGGGTTGTCTGATTCGTCTGAAAATTTCAGGGCAGATAGATCTAAACCTGATGAATATTTTAACCCCCATGTCAGATTTACTCTAAATGCTTTAGTTTCAGAGATATAAGCCAAAAACTGCATCTTACCTCTAAATTCTATTTTTAGCCATGGCAGCCATGTTGGTTGGCAGGCAAGGTTGTAGGACATATTTTTCAAACTAGATACCCCAATAATGATTGTGGCCAAGTTTGGTTAAATTTGGCCCAGTAGTTTCAGAGGAGAAGATTTTTGTAAAAGTAAACGGACGACGACGACAGACGACGACGACGGACGCCAAGTGATGAGAAAAGCTCACTTAGCCTTTCAGGCCAGGTGAGCTAACAAGAGGCTCTCAAGAGCCTGAATCGCTCACCTGTATTTCAGAGGAGAAGATTTTTCAATGTTAGCAAACTTGATGAACAAATTGTGTAAAATTGTCTTTAAAGGGCAATAACTCCTTAAAGGGTCAATTGACAATTTTGGTCATATTAACTTTTTTGTAGATCTTACTTTGCTGAACATTATTGTTGCTTACAGTTTATATATATCTATAATAATATTCAAAATAATAACAAAAAACTGCAAAATTTTGTTAAAACTACCAATTCGGTGGCAGCAACCCAACAATGGGTTGTTCGATTCGTCTGATAATTTCAGGGCCGATAGATCTTGACCCATTTAACAATATTACCCCATGTCACATTTGCTCTAAAAGATTTAGTTTTTGAGATATAAGCCAAAAACTGCATTTGACCCTTATGTTCTATTTTTAGCCATGGCGGCCATTTTTGTCGATGGATACAAACTTCGGATATATTTTATAAACAATATACCCTAAGGAACATTTAGTTAAAGTTTGAAGGTAATTGGCCCAGTAGTTTCAGAGAAGATTTTTAAATGTTAACAAACTTGATGAACAAATTGTGTAAAATTGTCTTTAAAGGGCAATAACTCCTTAAGGGGTCAATTGACAATTATGGTCATATTAACTTTTTTGTAGATCTTACTTTGCTGAACATTATTACTGCTTACAGTTTATATATATCTATAATAATATTCAAAATAATAACAAAAAACTGCAAAATTTTGTTAAAACTACCAATTCGGTGGCAGCAACCCAACAATGGGCTGTTCGATTCGTCTGAAAAATTTCAGAGCTGATAGATCTTGACCAATTGAACAATTTTACCCGTGTCACATTTGCTCTAAAAGCTTTAGTTTTTGAGATATAAGCCAAAAACTGCATTTGACCCCTATGTTCTATTTTTAGCCATGGCGGCCATGCATGTTTGTCGATGGATCAAAACTTCGGATACAATTTATAAACTAGATACCCTAAGGAACATTTAGTTAAAGTTTGTAGGTATTTGGCCCATTAGTTTCAGAGGAGAAGATTTTTGAAATAGTTTACGACGACAGACTACGACGACGGACGACGACGGACGCCAAGTGATGGCATAAGCTCACATGGGGCCCTTCGGGCCCTGGTGAGCTAAAAACACTGGAATTCATGATAAAAATCATATGATGATATTTAAGACAAAATTGTAACAAATTGATTTCTTCTATCAAAATAATTAAATATAATATGCAATGACCACTAGAATGTAAATTGATCAATTCTTTAACCTCAATAGCTTTCAATATAACAATTATGTAATTAATAAAAAATGTAATTCATCTGAAAAAAATGCTTCACATTTTTAATTTTGATATTTTACTAAGTGTCATGCATTATGAAATGAATAATAATTCTCCCCATACTGCCTCATAATAAAGATACCTGATAATTTACAAGGGAATTTAGTGCAGGTTACTGAGTTATCTCCCTTTTCAGACTTTTCATAATGCTTTTTATATAATTTATATCTCCCATGACCATCATGTGTAAAAGAAGAGGTAGTTTCTAATATAACTTTGCATTATGAACAAATTATCAAAAATAAAAATGTGTAGGCTTTCCACCCATGATTCACATTTTACATGATTCTTAGGGGTTGTTGTACTTAAATATCATATGGTACTATCTTTGCTTGATGATCATCAATAACTCTCTAAGTTGATTTTATGATAGTTTTTACTTTCAATAAAATCACAGTTTGCACACTACTTTGCAACTTTGTTTTCAAAAACTCTCTTTGTCACGAAAAAGCACTGGATTATCTTTACTACCATATACACGTATGAATAAACATATTACTACAACCATTTAAGTATGTTACAAGATATAATTCATCCTCTCTAGCCTAGGGTTGATTAAGATGCTTTCCTTACTCCATCACCAATGAATTTGATAAGTAAAAAAAAAGAACACTTCATGGTTGTTCCTTAATTGGTATGATACTAGGAAAATGTTGTAACATCCAAATTAATATACTGGACAATCAATTATTAAAATTTTCTTTCGTGTACACATATAAGTAGCAGAGCACCAATTAAGTGTAATATAATTTTCTGTAAAGGGAGAATATATTTGTATTTTGTAAAATAGGTGTTGATTGGAATCATTTAAATTTCTAATGTTTCACATTTGCTGCCAGAATAAGTGCGTATTTATATTCAAATTAATCCTAAAGATGCATTTTTTTCAAAATGTCAGTCCAGATTTCCTGATCTTCAACCAAATTTCAGAAGCTAACTTATTAAATATATTGCTAATTTCTTCCTGTCCTGTATATGAATGAAATATTTGCCACTGGATGTTAAATACTTTACCAATAATCAATTAATCAAATCAATCCAATTTACCAAAGATGATGGAGTAAGGAATGTTAAGAAATTTACCTTCATTTCCAAGGATGATAAATATACTATAAATTATACTAAAAAAAAAATTTAACATCTTTACTTCACTTGTAAAGTTTTGTGTGTGTTTCCAATAAAAGGAATTAACTCAGTGTATTTTCTCTTGCCAAGACAAATGTTGCAGTAATTTTGAAAAAATCAAAAGCAGACTTATAGTTTTACTTAAAAAAAGGAATCCACACCAGTTTACTGTAAAATGAACTAAAATAGTTCCTGAAAACCTAATACACTTCAAATTGTTTTGGATTATTTTTTAATTTATTTTGCAAGGTCTGATTTGAAGTTTTCAAGCCATTAAAAATAACCTTTCAAAGTCTGCCCATTAAAGAAATTTAAAAATCAAAATCATAATATTGATAAAAAATTATTATAGACTACAATTATATAAGTAATAAAAAACATGAATACATTTCCATCATCAAAAACTGGTAAATATTTATTTGTGATTTTACTTCTAAAACAAAATAAAATTGACTTTATGAAATTGATACAAATAACATTTTTGAATTTATATTTGTTTAACAAATAATTATAAAAATGGTTATCATATTCAATTCTCTAACAAAAAGTCTGTCTGGACAAATTCTAGATAAAAAATATTTGAAAGATATTCAAATCAGAACTACAACTTTTGTTATTACAAGTTCTATTTGACATGCAAAATTACATGTTATTACACGATTTATGCCCTCAAGTGAAGTAAAGAAATGTTAAATCTTGTTTTAAACATTATAGATATATACTACAGATTTAATATGCCTGTCGTCCTGTTACCTTAATTGCTGATCTTTGATCTCTGGCATCTTTCACCTTTATAATGAATTTATACATAGCAATGGTGAACTGGATGTAAGACAGTAATAAACTAAATTTCCATGCAGATTTTAAAATAAGGGCTGTTCCAGAATTAAACCCATGAGGGGAATGGGGGCATGTTTTTAAGACCCTCTACCACCTATAAAATAAAAATCTTTAATTCTACTTATAATTCTTACTAAATTCTAGGGAAAATGCAACCACCCATATTTAGATTAATTTGAGTGCCTCCTATCACCTCCCCTGATAAATATTGGAACAGCCCTAAGTTGACCTTTGACAGGAGTTGGTTGAGAGAGTATTGGTGGTCAGTGTGGTCAGTTATACTGATTAACAATGAACTTAAACTCTCGACGAAATACAAATTTTCAGTTACTTTGATAGGAGAAATAATGCACAACAAATTAACAAACCCTTGAAATTTTTTCTCAAACAGCAAAAAAATTATATCAGCAAAAAACAGATGAATCCACAATATCCTTTGAACGTAGCATTTGAATGTAAAATGTTATTTACCTTAGCAATAAATGCTTCACAACATTCTGCTGTAAACATTTCCAACGTGAAAGCTGTAGATATGTGTGTGTCTCTTTTCATGGCCTAAAATTTAAAAAAAATATAATTAGTATTTCAATATATAAATTCATAACATCAGATGCTATCTCTTAATCATGTAGAAACCACTGTCCATTTTTTGTAAAATTCCATGAATGTTAACAACAGACTGATATTGAACTATTTCTGATACTAACACTAATAAGGAAGGCAAAATTAAGAATTGCTATGCCTCATCTCTTGGAGACTTTCTTCACTTATTGTTCTTCAGTAAATCCCAGTGGTACACAATTTAAAGTCATGACAAACCGATTATATTTGTGAGCTACAGCCAATTTCTTTGATTAATTGATTGTTGGTGTTTAATGCCACTTTTAGCACTATAAAGTGAAATGTGGTGACCAGTTTTTATTGGTTGAGGAAGCTGGAGTATCAGGAGAAAACAAAAGACCTCTGGCAGGCAAACTGGCAATCCTAGTCAGAACACACCTGCCATGTGCAGGATTTGAACTCACAACCTCAAGTGATGATAGGCTAAAGATTGCTGTAGATGAACTACTTAGACCACTTGGCAACTGAGGCTCCCGCACCCACCCCAATTCAATTGACTGTAATTGTTCAGCAAATTTGCATATGGAAATATATCTCTGCTCAATTTTTAAGGAACGTAATCTTAGTTGCATGTATGAAGTAGCATTTGATCTCAGAAATTAAATGAGATTTTCTGATTTAGGGCATTTCCATAAAAACATACATGAAATCCAGGGAAGGTGTTTCCGAATCTAAACTAGGGGTGAGCATTAAATACTTTTTTGGTAAAATGAAAATGAGAGATTTTCTAAAATTACCTCTATACATGTACTGAACTTGCAAGTACTTCCCCTTGGTACCATGTATGTATTAATACACCTTATTGCTATTTACTCCAATCCGGATAAGTTCTGAAATCACACAACTTTTACATCCAGTTGAAGCTATCTGGGGCCCTGTTTTAACAATGTATTATGCATAAAACTTTTCAAAGAGAAATGTTTAAACCATCGTAAACACTTCAAACAAAGAATTTTTATGATTTTAATTTGTGTTTAAAAAAAGTGGATCATAATCTATCAAAGTTTCAAAATGTCCGCTTTCTAAACATTTTCCTTCCTTAGCTCGTTACTGATGACCTTTTGTATTGCAATGCTTGACCCAAACAGGAAGTTGTCTAAATGACTGTTTTTTCTGGATTGGACTAAATAGCGATAAGGGGTATGGGACAGCCCTAACTTGATTCACCAAAATAAGTCATCAAAAAGTCAGTTTATTGTGTTTTCATCAAGTTTGTATTTTCATCACTTTATATTACATGTTTTCTGTGTACCTTATCTAACACATGGAATAATCCATCTGGTCCTAAATTGTACCCAGACTCAACAATTCTGAAAATATATAATGATAAATACATATATCAATAAGATTAAAGATATCTAATATGATGGTTGACCTTAATTTCTTCTCTTTAGTTTTTTGTGTCTCTATGGAATTCCGTCTCATTGACACATACCCCTAATGTTACCTATGTCTACTTCAACTATAGACTATTTCCCCACTATTTTCATCTTACTGACTTTTGACTCTGGGGTATATAATTTTTTGCAGTTACCTTCTCTGGTACTCTGTTTAGTAAGAGAAACTAAAAGAAGTAAAATCAAGCATACAATCTTTGCAATTTGGGGGTAAAATGAACTGTTCTGATGACTTTGTCATGTAAAGAAACATAAAAAAGTTACTTTTCACCAAAAATTGCACAGATTGTAACCTTGATTTTACTTCTTTTAGTTGCTCTTACTTGACCAAGTACCAGAATATCCTACCACATCTCAAGTAAATAACATGCTGAAAAATTATATATTCCAGAACCAAAAGTGGGTAATATGAAAATTGTCTATTGGCCATCATCTATCAGTTATCAGCTAATGCTCACGTGTTAGACAAATGCTTTTGACCACGTTATTCCACCACCATTTGATATATGGAAATATTTCTTCACAAACAAAACAATTATTTGTTCAGCATATATGTGGTTAATCCAAGGCTATTTTGGTGGAGCATTTTTTTCAAGTTTTTATTTCATGTGTATTATGTTGAGATTGTTATTATCCATGTTTCAAACTTATAGGTTGAAATGAGCTGTGTAAGCCTAGTCATTTATATTGATTTATCATAAAATCAGTGACTTTTTTTTTTTTTTTATCCTGGTAACCTCTTTGTGACAACATCTTAACAGAACCTTCATCAGAACTTTCGGCACCAGTTTTATTATCAACTACTCATTCTTCAATTGTTCTATAACCTTGATCTTTGACCTTATGTTTTCATACTTACTTTCTGGCACCAGTTTTATCAGTAGCTAATGATTCTTCAATTGATCTAGATCTATAACCTTGATCTTTGACCTTACAGTATTCATACTTACTTTCTAGCATTTGTTTTATTACTAGTTAACAATGTCTTTAATTGTTCTAAAACCTCGACCTTTGACCTTACAGTATGCATACTTACTTTCTTGCATCTGTTTTATTACTAGCTAACGATGTCTTTAATGGTTTTATAACCTTGACCTTTGATCTTATAGAATTAATACTTACTTTCTGGCATCTGTTTTATAACTAGCTAACGATGTCTTTAATTGTTCTACAACCCTGACCTTTGACCTTACAGTATGGTACTTACTTTCTTGCATCTGTTTTATTACTAACTAACCATGTCTTTAATTGTTCTACAACCCTGACCTTTGACCTTACAGTATGGTACTTACTTTCTGGCATCTGTTTTATTACTAGCTAACGATGTCTTTAATTGTTCTAATACTGCATCACATACAGCTTTATCACATTTCCCTGTCTTGGTAAAGTCCAATGAATTAAATAAATATTCTACAAGTTTCAGATAATCTGAAATAAACAATTATTTATTATGAAATCAAACTTGTTAGGCAAGGCATTATATTTTTGTTGGTGTATAAAATTGTATATACACTCAAAGGAAACATACGTTACAGGTGCAATTTATAAGTGCAGAGAGGGTGTATTCCCCTTTCAAATGCAAAAATATTATTATGCACAAAAGTTTTTTTTATCTTCTATCAAAATTTGGAAAAGACAAATTCATATAAAAGATATGATTTCTTTTCATTGTTATGGAAAACAAGATTTAGCACTTCAATTTGCACTTGCATTTTTATACATATTTGTGCACCTTTAAATCAAATTCCTAGATCTGATTCTGACTTAAACTGATCCACACAAGAACACACCAGATTTAAACGCATGATATGATTATGACTACCTTCTAACACACAGCATGTAAACACACCAGATTTAAACACATGATATGATACCATCTTCTAATACACAGCATATGAACACACCAGATTTAAACACATAAAATTATATTACCTTCTAACACACAACATGTGAACACACCAAATTTAAACACATCAAATGATATTATCTTCTAACACCCAGCATAGTAACATACCAGATTTAAACACATCATATGATAGTACCTTCTAACATACAGCATGTCAACACACCATACTTAACACATCATTTGATATTACCTTTTATCACATAGCTTGTGAACACGCCAGATTTAAACACATCATATGATATTACCTTCTAACACACAGCATGTGAACACACCAGATTTAAATACATAAAATTATATTACCTTCTAACACACAACATGTGAACACACCAGATTTAAACACATCATATGTTACAGCCTCAAAATCTAAACATTCTATCTTTCTTAACAGTCTGTTCATCACTAAAGTTGGAAAATCTCTGTAAAATATATATATTATATAACGATAACATAATCCCTGTGTAAACTTGAGGCTCAAGGGACACTTTTCCACTCAATTTGACTGAGGTATGTGTTCAATCTTCAGTTTTCTTTGTAGTGCTCTTTTTTATTGTTGTCTTTTCACAATGTACATCTATTGTCTTTGAGTAGTCAGTAGTTAATGTGTTAATATATATAATTAGTTGTACTGTCCTTTTCTTTGAGTTGTCAGTAGTTAATGTGTTAATATATATAATTAGTTGTACTGTCCTTTTTCGAGTAGTCAGTAGTTAATGTGTTAATATATATAATTAGTTGTACTGTCCTTTTCTTTGAGTTGTCAGTAGTTAATGTGTTAATATATATAATTAGTTGTACTGTCCTTTTCTTTGAGTTGTCAGTAGTTAATGTGTTAATATATATAATTAGTTGTACTGTCCTTTTTCGAGTAGTCAGTAGTTAATGTGTTAATATATATAATTAGTTGTACTGTCCTTTTCTTTGAGTTGTCAGTAGTTAATGTGTTAATATATATAATTAGTTGTACTGTCCTTTTCTTTGAGTTGTCAGTAGTTAATGTGTTAATATATATAATTAGTTGTACTGTCCTTTTTCGAGTAGTCAGTAGTTAATGTGTTAATATATATAATTAGTTGTACTGTCCTTTTCTTTGAGTTGTCAGTAGTTAATGTGTTAATATATATAATTAGTTGTACTGTCCTTTTCTTTGAGTAGTCAGTAGTTAATGTGTTAATATATATAATTAGTTGTACTGTCCTTTTCTTTGAGTTGTCAGTAGTTAATGTGTTAATATATATAATTAGTTGTACTGTCCTTTTCTTTGAGTAGTCAGTAGTTAATGTGTTAATATATATAATTAGTTGCACTGTCCTTTTCTTTGAGTAGTCAGTAGTTAATGTGTTAATATATATAATTAGTTGTACTGTTCTTTTCTTTGAGTTGTCAGTAGTTAATGTGTTAATATATATAAATAGTTGTACTGTCCTTTTCTTTGTTACTCCCATTATCCTTTGTATGCATTGTGTAAGAAATTTCCCATGGTGAAACTTATATATAACATCAAAACTTCAACTGTTACCAGGCCAGAAAGACCTATGTATATATACTATTGTAACAATGAGCAACTATGATATGCCATAATCTTACCAGAACATTAATATATATAAAATGAGGTATTTCTGATGGACACTCATCTTATATAATTATGTATATACACAGAGGAACATACCTACATAAGGCTCTGATGAGTTCATTATACACGGTACCATTTACTCCATGAAGCTTCTTATTACCTACAAAATAATAGAGAAAAAATATGAAGTTTATGTAACTATACCAAATTTAAATAAAAACTGGATTTATTGCTTTAATAATACGACAAAAATATTGACAATGAATGAACTTTTTTCTCTGCCATGGCATGACTGAAACTTTTCCTATGTATAAAAAAATATAAGTTAGAATGAAAATTGTATTTAATGTTTAACATGCTTAATATGCAGAAAATATTGACAAAATATAAATCTTGTACTTTTTTCAGTAGCATCAAACTGAAATTTTCTATAGGCTTGTATGCAGACTTCGGCAATCCACGAAATTAAATATCCACGAACATGTAAGTTTTCCTTAATCCACGAAAATTGGTACCCACGAAAATAAATGAATCCTCAGTAGATAAAAATGTAAAAACATGTTTGAAGTCTTCAAAGAATATTATATAAGGTGAACAATTTGATTACACAGATCATTGTGCCAATGCTTGGCTTACAAGCTGGTTACTCAAAGTTCAGTGACAAATATTTCATGATTATTCTGAACAATGTGTTCACTTCTTACCAAAGTATGGTGCTTTTGTGTAACAGAAGGTTTAAATAATGTATTTTTTTTTATTTGGTTTACTTTGGAATGCTAGTGTAAAATGATAACCATGAAAACAACTTGTGGTGTTTTAAGTGTACTTACTTACCAAATATAATGTCTGATGACTTTTTTGATGCTTCAATTATACAGACATATAACTTATATTTCAGTATTGGACATTTTAACCAGAGCAGAAAACATATGAGAAATGTCTATCATAGAAAGGAGCTATACTTTGGAGATTTACAAACTAAAGAGTCACCTTTAGAAAATCAGAGATCTGTTGATAAGAAATTATTCAAATTTTCAAGGTCCAGGACTTTGTGATTTTCAAAATTAAAGTTACACATGTACAAATTATTGTAACTTGTAAGGTCAAAATTAGGTATCATGTGCATTCTCCGTTAAACTTCTAAACAACATTTTAAAAATATTTAGGTAAAATGTTTCTGTGGTATTCAGAATTCCATCTGTAGGAGGTGTCCTGTAAAAAATTGCTAAGCGACTAACAGTGACTATAAGACTTTCAAATCACTGAATATAAAAATAAGGATACATGGCATGATTGCCAATGAGACAACTAACTATTCACCAAAGTTATAGCTTTTTGGATTCCTTAAATAAATATTTTATAATTAAATAACATGTTTAAAATAAAGTTTTTGTATTTGAACCATAAGATTTGGTGTTGCAGAGAAGTCATTTGGTCTTAATTATTAGACCTTCATTTCTTTTCATTCCCAATTTTCAGATCCTACAAAACTTTGAAGATATTAGAATTTAATTAAATGAAAATTTAATTCGTTAATTGAATTGACATATACTTGTACTGAGACTCGACAAATCGAGTCGTCCTTTACTCTTATTGTTATGCCAATTTGAGCATGAGAGAGTTGAGCCGTAAAAACTCCGTGCATTTTAACAGTCACTTTTACCTTGAAAACCAAACGGAGAGTACGTTGAAAAATTTAGACCCATCCTCTCCCACCCTTATAACTTGAACTTTGTTTGCTGCTGGTCTTATTTATTTTCAGATGCTCCAGTCTTCATACAAATATCTGTCATGGTAACAAGCTGAAGCACAGTCACACAACCGGAGCGAAATTTACTTCATTTTATGAAGACTATGGATAGCCCAGCTGCTAATTCTGAAATATTGCTGAATGGACCACCCTTCAGTACACCAGCTTTGGATTGCCCAGCTGATTAGTTAAATCGTTATCAAGATTTTATTGATTGACAAATAATTTGGTTGTGTACTGTTGTTGTTGTTGTTGTTTGAATGAATTTTGATTAAATGTTGCCATAACAATTCAATATCCAAACAAAATCAGTGTTTGTTATTTGTTGTAGTGAAACACAAATTAAGTCATCAATGGAGTCTGTTCATCAATTCTGATATTTGGGTAATTTACATCAAATGATTACTTTGATCAAATGATGTATTCAATAATGATCTATTAGCTTTTTAAGGATAGTATAACTACACAAGCTAGCTGTTACAAATGAGAGTACAGAAAAACACTTTAAACACATTTGCAGTGTTATAATTTGGTCTGGATGGGGAGTCCTTCATTTCTATATTTTTGAGTTCATTTTTTCTCAATTCTTTATTTACTTTGCCTATTATTCTCTATTCTTTATATTTTAGCACCCCATTATCATGATTATTCTCTATTCTTTATTTTTTGGGCCTATTTTCTATATTATTTATTTTTTGGCCCTTGATTCTTCACTTTTTATAAATATAAGAAGATGTGGTATGAGTGCCAATGAGACAACCCTCCATCCAAGTCAAAATTTATAAAAGTAAACCATTATAGGTCAAAGTACGGTCTTCAACACGGAGCCTTGGCTCACACCGAACAGCATGCTATAAAGGGCCCCAAAAATTACTAGTGTAAAACCATTCAAACGGGAAAACCAACGGTTTAATCTACCGTATATAAAAAACGAGAAACGAGAAACACTTATGAACCACATCAACAAATGACAACTACTGAACATCAGATTCCCTATTTGCCTATTATTCTCTCTTCTGTAAACCCCATCCAGATCCTCACATATTTTTACTTACATTTAGACTTCTGTAATGTCTCATATGCCATTCTGACATTAATATCAAACACTGGTCGACTGTGGTGCGTCATTATTATCAACTGTCGTGCTCTAGCAACTAAGCTAGTCTGTTCTTCTAATGAGTCAAAGCTAAAATCAATACAAAAAAAATATACATTGAATTGAACTGAAAAATACTTTATATGCACATATATGTGATTATGAGGACAGTCCTGCTTTATTTTGAATCTAAAATAAGATAGTACTAAAAATGGCAGTGCTAAAATGGCCTAGCCTGGGGAGAATACCCATAAAAGGTTACCTGCCAAAAATAATATAAAATTTTGGTCAAATTGAGAAATGCATGCATATAAAGTTGGATAGTCTTGATTAATTTTAAAGGTTAAATTCCAAAAATATATAATATATGGTGACCTGAAGTTGTTAATTTCTGTGTCATTTGGTCTCTTGTGGAGAGTTGCCTCATTGGCAATCATACCACATCTTCTGATTTTTATATGTAGTGTTTAACATATTATCATAATTATAAAAGATACCTTTAGTTATATTTAAAGAGCTTTTTTCTCTTTTGTAAAAAGTTTTCCCGGAGATGTAGTAGTTGTTATTGTGACATACAATTTTGTAAACTTTCTCATACACACATGTGATTATGGGATATTTTCTCTCTACGATTAGAAGAAAACTTTCATTGTAAAAAAATCTTACTAGTCAGCCATGAATGCTATAGGGTCCTCTGGTCTGTTAGCGATGATCTTTCCCAAGACATCTTTCATGCATGTACCTACATTACTCCTTTCTGAAATAATAAAGCAATATCTTATGATTAACTAACAATGATTAACATGATTAACTTTTGATTTACTAACAATGATTAAGTCGGTAACAAGCAATTAGGTTAAAAGAGAACAAAAAAATTTGTTTCCTTAATAGCAACCTTCTTATTTTACTTCAACGTCCTCAAACTCCTTTTTTTTCAAGCCAACATTAAAATAATAAAAAATTTTAAAATTTGGTTTATTTCTTATCCTTCATCCAGCAGATCCTACATTGTCCAATAAAGTACAAACATTATGTCAAAAATTCCACCCTAAAATGTCTGTTCTTCAAACAACAACGTGAAAAAAAAACTTGTGATCAATCTTAGTATTATACTTCAGGTAGACTGGATAAAAAGCTTTCAAAGAAGTCATCAAGAACAACAGAAATAACAATTAGAAAGATAAATTTTCATTTAATTCTTTACACATTTATTTACATTGAATATTTTTCTTTATTTGATATTTGACAGTAAAACGACAGGGACCACCATTTACAGTCAAACCTCATCTAATCTACTGAACAAGTCCTGTGTTTCTAGGTGTAATACCAACAAATCATAATACGTCACATCCGGTTGCATACGAAAAAGGGTTGAAAAAAAATATTCCCTTGAATTTGACAGTTGTAGGAAAAATAATCCTACATTTCATAGCAGTAAAAAAATTCTGAGTCATAAACATATATCTTGGGTGTTTCAAAGCACCATTATTTTTTTATTTGGTGTTTCTATAGAATATTTTGGAAACTTGAGGTTACATGGTTACTTAAGCTTGTACACAGGAAAAAAGGGGAGAAAATTTGATTGGTTAACTTCTAGTGATCACTGTGATGGTTATTTTCTTATATGCAATGAAATGTTATGTGAAATTTTGTCTATAGTACTGGAAAGGATAAAACTTTACTCATGCCAAGTATTTCTTTATTTGAAACAAAGATAAACTCTGCACAATTTTTTTAAAAGAGCAAATTTAACAAAGATAATTGGGGAAAATCAATGGTGGTATTACACCTCAAATCGAATCAATTAAATAAAACCTTTTTCCTTGGTATTCGAACATAATTCTTTCAAAAAATGTTGGTCCTGACAGTTTAAATTTAGATTAAATTACGTCTCTGATCAATTGTAAATATTGAACTTTTTTTTACTACGGCCCCGACTTGTCTCTATTGTAAAATTGGTAACACCATATCTACTTATACATCAATTTCACCAATTACTTAAATACAAGTAATACTTTGCAATTATTGTGTGATACTTAAAACATAGATCTAGCAGTGTATGCTACAGGTATTTTAACAGTTTAAATTGAATACAAATTACGTCCCTAATCGATTTGAAATAAACAAAATGTTGACTTTGGAATTTTTCAAAATGGTGACATATATATTGTGTTCATACTTCAAATAAAATTCAATATTTTAATGATGATTTTCTGAAAATTGCATGTTTTGATCATGTTCATTTTTACCATGTTTACAGTAGCTTTTGTTTATGCAAAAATATAAACTTTTTACAATCCATACACTTTACAATATCTGAATTTAAATACAAAAGGACAGAGGTTACCATAAAATTACACATGATTATTGTTACATGTATATAAAGGCAGTGTCTGCGCAACCCTGCATGCCAGGATGAGTAGCCAAATTGGCATTTGTAGGCTACACGTACACGCTTCCAGTTTTATGATTAAATGTCATCACATTGGGAATAAAACGTGAAATAAACAAGGAAATTGTTGTAATTAATGAATAAATTGATTAACTCACAGAGACATACCTGCCAACTTTTGAAAATCCCCATGGGGGTTTTAGTGTGTGACAAAAATTTCAAAGGTTACAATTCTTTGCGGGGTTTTTTGCGCGTGCTGTTTTGTGCTCTAGAAAAAGTGCCATATCTTCTTTTTTTATATAGTATACTGATGATGAGCTTATAAGCCTTTTTCTTCTTTTTATTTGCATGATTCTAGTAATAATATATCAGTAGAAAAAATATACATACATGTACCAGGATATATTTTCTTGTGAATGTGTAAGAATATTAAATGATTGTTGACTTTTCCCAATTTAAAATTATGCACAAAGAAGGACATTTATTTGGTCCTTGTGAAAAATAAAGCATAGTACATTGTACTTTTAATTATTTGGTAATCAAATCAGGTTGGGAACAACCCCTCAAATGAGGGGTAATCACTCAATGTAATGACTATCCCTTTTATAAGGGGTACATTTCAAGTGATAAAAAATATTTTTTTGTAAAAACCACTTCTTAGTACAAAAGGGCACATATCTATATTATTTTATAAAACTTTTCCCGAAGAACTATACATCTATCTGGTATTATATGGTCAAAACATGAACAAGAATTTTATAATATTCATGGACTTCCAGAAAAGTTGTTCCAAATATAATGAATTTTCCCCCTTTTAAGTTAAAAAACCTAAGTTTTTCTTTTATGCAACAGCAAAATGACCCCCTGTCTGGGGGACTGTCCCTCATTTAAGGGATATCCCTCATTTGGGGAGTGGTTCCCAACCTGTTAATTACAAGAATGAAAAAGTTCACTTTAGTGTATGATATGTTACAGTAAGGGTAATGTCAATAAGCTACTATTTACTATGTTTATGGTAGTACTGCATCATTGAATTTTGTCAATCAGCCATGCTTTTCTTCTTAAGCTGTGTAAGAACCTTCTTGCAAATGAAAATTCACCTGCCATATAATTTTACGATTTTACAATTCTGACACGAGGAATCCAAACAAATTCAAAATTTTGCATGTCCAAATAATCATGATAGAGAACGATTTTGATTGGCTTATTAATTTGATCATGAGAAACACAGACTTTGATTGGCTGATCACTTGGGAACAGTTCAAAATCGGGAACAATCATTTTTTTTCGTGTAGAATTTCACAAAATCGTGTTTTAGAGCTTTTTTCATAATCACGATCGTGCAATCGTGACAAGGGGTCAAAATCGTGTAGTACACGCCTAAATAGTTCAAGTTGGCAGGTATGCAGAGATGAGAAACGTCCATGTCCGGTTAGTTTTTTTTATATTTTTCCTTTAAGTATTAACTATATATACAATAATTATTGATATAATGGAATCTATGATCATAGAAAAATTTAAATTATATTCAAATTAAAAAGCATTACAAACAATTTTTATAGTTCTTAAGTTAAATATATAAATAAAATAGATTATCTATACATATATATCATGTATATATATAGCATGTATAACACATAATTAATTTATTCATCATACTTAACATAACAATGTTCATTTCAACCTATAGTATTTTATGTAGTTTATTATGTATTTTTAACTAAAAACTAGAGGCTCTAAAGAGCCTGTGTCGCTCACCTTGGTCTATGTGCATATTAAACAATGGACAAAGATGGATTCATGACAAAATTGTGTTTTGGTGATGGTGATGTGTTTGTAGATCTTACTTTACTGAACATTCTTGCTCCTTACTATTATCTCTATCTATAATGAACTTGGCCCAGTAGTTACAGTGGAAAATATTTTGTAAAAATTTACAAAAATTTACAAAATTTATGAAAATTGTAAAAAATTGACTATAAAGGGCAATAACTCCTTAAGGGGTCAATTGACAATTTTGGTCATGTTGACTTATTTGTAGATCTAACTTTGCTGTACATTATTGCTGTTTACAGTTTATCTCTATCTATAATAATATTCAAGATAATAACCAAAAGCTGCAAAATTTTCTTAAAATTACCAATTCAGGGGCAGCAACCCAACAACATGTTGCCTGATTGGTCTGAAAATTTCAGGGCAGATAGATCTTGACCTAATGAACAATTTTATACCATCAGATTTGCTCTAAATGCTTTAGTTTCAGAGATATGAGCCAAAAACGGCATTTTACCTTATGTATTATTTTTTTGCCATGTCGGCCATCTTGGTTTGCGGGCAGGGTCATCGGACACATTTTTTAAACTAGATACCCTAATGATGATTGTGGACAATTTTGGTTAAATTTGTCTCAATAGTTTCAGAGGAGAAGATTTTTGTAAAAGATTACAAAAATTTACGAAAAATGGTTAAAAATTGACTATAAAGGGCAATTACTCCTTAAGGGGTCTACTGACCATTTTGGTCAAGTTGACTTATTTGTAGATCATACTTTGCTGAACATTATTGCTGTTTACAGTTTATCTCTATCTATAATAATATTCAAGATAATAACCAAAAACGGCAAAATTTCCTTAAAATTACCAATTCAGGGGCAGCAACCCAACAATGGGTTGTCCGATTCATCTGATAATTTCAGGGCAGATAGATCTTGACCTTATAAACAATTTTACCCCATGTCAGATTTGCTCTAAATGCTTTGGTTTCAGAGATATAAGCCAAAATCTACATTTTACCCCTATGTTCTATTTTTAGCCATGGCTGCCATCTTGGTTGGTTGGCGGGGTCATCGGACACATTTTTTAAACTAGATACCCCAATGATGATTGTGGCCAAGTTTGGTCAAATTTGGCACAGTAGTTTCAGAAGAGAAGATTTTTGTAAAAGTTTACGGACGACGGACGACGGACGACGGACGCAAAGTGATGAGAAAAGCTCACTTGACCTTTCAGGTCAGGTGAGCTAAAAACAAATTAAAAAATATTATTTGTCATTCTCTTCACTGAATTCACAAAATCCACTAATTACCGATAATTTCCGTGTATGTTTTACATTTTATTCCTAATCTGATAAAATTTAATTATAAAACCAGATGGGGGTATGCATAGCCTTCGAATGTCAATTTGGCTACTCGTCCTCACATACGGTTGCACAGACACACTAAATTGTTTTTTTTTTTATTTTCTGTGTGTGAATTGAAATTTGTCATTTGATTAAAAATATGAAACTCAATGCATATGATTTTGGACTTTTTGAATTTGTTTTAACAATTTTAGTTGACAAGATTTTTTTAAGAAATTTGACCAAGTGTTAAGGAAGAAAGAGTTATCGACACTCGTGACTGATAAAGCTGCGTATGGACAGTGGCAGTGCATAATATGGTTCTCGGAATACATATACTTTTTTAACAGTGTTATGAACTTCTACATAAACATCTGTCTCATATAGCTGATAAAACCAATAAAAAAAATTGTAATAACCTAGAAACTGTCTATCTGATTCTTGTGGTCTATCATCTGCAGAATTTGGTTTCCTCTTGTCAGCCATTTGTAAACAATGCAAGTCTCGTACGTTCCTGCAATATTGTACCTTGGCTGAACCATATGAAATATAACTAAATACATCTAATGACTTTTAACAACAACGCAGTACAACGCTGTAAAATTTCCTCGACTTTAACCCAGCTTAAAACGGATTGTGCTAAAATTGAGATTACTAATATTGTGTTATACAGTTATCTCAGACTAAAATGAGAAAAGTGGTCAAAACGGGGTAGCGACAAGAAGCTTCAAGAAGCGACAAGAAATCTAAATATTAATTATTTCAAATAAATAGATATAAAAACTTGCATTAAAGTTTGTTTTTAATATACTTGTATTATAATTATTCTATTAATTGCACATTTGTTTAAGAAAGCGTTTTTTTTTAGGCACTGGCTACGGTTACATGGAAATGTAACAATAATATAAAAATTATTGTTACATTGGAGACTAATTGCCGGAATGCAGGGTTGGGTAAGGAACCGATTAATTACGAATGTAACAATAATATTTGGGTCTACGGTTACATTGCGTTATAGTTACATTAACGCACTGCAATTTACAATGGGAATAGTAATAAATATGTATTAAAATAAAACTTGAAAACTTTTATTTGATATTTACAATATTGCATACAATATTTTGATTTTTTATTTACAATGACAGTTTCTACAAATCCAGTATGTTGTTTTTGGAGCATGTTTTAGTCCGACGCATTTTCGGTGAAACCACTCTAAGCAGCCATCACAAACCAGAGATACGGCAATGTGCACGCTCTATATTGCATACCGTACAATTCCATTCTGCATTTTCCCTTTATGAAGTTTAAGAAACTTTCAATGTCTGAATGCCATGCTTCAGGTGAAAAATATTTGTTTACTCTTGCGATGTTTACATTTTCGTCCAATATTTTTTTTGGAAGCATGTTAGGTTGTTTAAATACAAGTCAATTGTAAAAGCAATTAATGTTGACATTTGCCGACAGATTGAAATTGGTGGAAACAGTGTTTTCATTTTCAGAGTCCAGATATTTTGTGATCTTATCAGTCGTGACAGTACATGCTCTATTGAACAGTTCATTAAGTATTCATCAGTAGTGATATTGAACTAAACTGTAGTAGTCATGATTTTTAACAACACCAAAACAATCAATACTTATTTGCTGAATAATATTATTATTATTAATATTATCTAGTACATATCGAAGAATTAAGCAACATAACTATAGAAGGTTTAAGTATAATAAATCTATCATACATTGCAGCCTTTGATTTAACAATAACGCAATGTAACCGTAGACCCAAATATTATTGTTACATTCGTAATTGATCGGTTCCTTACCCAACCCTGCATTCAGGCAATTAGTCTCCAATGTAACAATAATTTTTATATTATTGTTACATTTCCATGTAACCGTAGCCAGTGCCTTTTTTATCATCGAGAATATATTTAATATTTTTACAGTTTACAGCATATACATAGTGTAAAAGTGAATTAATGAATTAAAAAGGGAGGAGTTAAATCTTTGTTCTTTTTTAAGCTTTTTTATGGAAACTTAGTATTTTCAGATGACGGAAGGATTAGCTCATCCCGTTTGTTCTTATATTTAGAGTAATTGCCATGTGCTTGTATTTACATAATCTATTTATCAAGATTACTTCAATGTTGTGATACCATTGTGATTCTGGGATTGTAACTTACATTTGAAAGTTTATAAAACAATTAAAATGACCTGTAACTAATTGACTTTTATATATAAAATTATTGCTTTGAGAGTATATGAACTTTTTTGTCACTAGATTTGTCTTCTTGTCGCCATTGTTTCTCCTTTTTTACCCTGAATCCTTGCAATTTTGAATATTCAATTTGTCAATTACTTTGAATTTCAACCTTGCCAAACTTTTGTTTCCACCGTCTATTCTTATTGTGCTTGTTGATGTGAGAGAAATAAAAGGGGTAGTTATAAAGAATATTTTGATAAAGTTTTAGGTTTTGTTCTTAATATTGGTTGTCAAGGACATATTTTTTGTCATTGTATACCGTTGTCTGTCCGTCCGTCGTCAACATGTCGGACAATAACTCATAAACGCTATAATTAATTTACAGGAAACTTTGGTGAATTGATTATCTATACTATTAAACAAGAAGACCTCATTTTGTGTGTCGCTTCTCTTCCTTCCACAATAAATTAATCATCATGCCTCTGTGTCCTATAGGTACCATGCATAGTCGCATTTGTCATCCATTCTTATGATTATTCAGATTGAGTTTTTTTGGGAGAAAAACGAAAAAAGGCGTACGGATATTGTTTCCGTCATCAGACCGACTTTTAAGTCATAGATAAGTTTTAAACTTGCACATGATTTTCATAAGTTCTCGGTAGAAAGGACAATTATTTTCGCGTGTATCTACATGTTTACTATGATTATACTACTATTATATACAGAGACTCTCTATATAATTATAGCAGTGATCGCCGTGGAGTTGGTAGTTAATAGCAAATACACTTTTTTTATAATATACGTATGTTCATAGTATACAGAAGGCTTCATTTACTATTTAAGGGGTCATATCAGTTGCATATATATAATTGGAAATAAAATATGTTCTTCTTCTATATATTGAAATAAGTAAAAAATGTGGAAAAAATTTATTGTTGAAAGTGAAAGTAGTGATTTGGCCAAAATAAAAGTAGGGTCGAAATTAGCTTTAGTCATTTATTCAAGATTCAAACCCTACCATTGGCATGTTAATAGGGTTCTCAAAAGAAAAAGCACTGATGGATTGTCCTAAAAACATATTTTACTAGAATAATAATGGTCTATAAGCAGTTACATTTATTTCATGTTTAAAGCGGTGCTTTTTTTTATTTTTTAATTTAATTTGACTTTTACCCAAAAAAATGCATTGTAGCAAAGGGGAAGAATAATTGTGGTCTGAGGCCATAAAAACGAAAATAATGGAATTTAACAGAAAGGAAACAAATAACGGACTTTGGAAAAAAGGGATAGGGCTTTTCTGAAATTCTCCAGACATAAAATCTTTTACAAAAATCCATCCTACAACAGTATACAAGCTGTAAATGCCCGCGATTTTGCGGGTGTGTTCTAGTAACTATTGACGTGAGCTCCCTTTCGATTTAATTATGTTGATCAAGACCTGACGCATATATACCGTCATGTACCGTTGTTTTCATTCAGCACAAACTAGTAAACGCTATCTTATTTTGTAAATATGAATGTCAAAGGGTCTCGAGAATCATGCAAATATATGACTCGATATTGGTTGTTTATACATATGCAGTACATCGTGAATGAAGTAATTTATTGTTAGTATTTATAACACTAACTGACATAATGATGTGAGGCTTATATGCAGTTACATAGTGTTCGTAAAGCATACAATTAATGTCACAAAATAACATGAATGACACATACTAGTAAGTCTCAAATTTACAATCAATAACTAGAAAAATTCTGTGTCACATTACATTTGATGATAAATGTTCTAAGGTTTACATCCAATGACAAAGTATGTTCAGGTTTACATCCAATGACAAAGTATGTTCTAAGGTTTACATCCAATGACAAAGTATGTTCAGGTTTACATCCAATGACAAAGTATGTTCTAAGGTTTACATCCAATGACAAAGTATGTTCAGGTTTACATCCAATGACAAAGTATGTTCTAAGGTTTACATCCAATGACAAAGTAAGTTCAGGTTTACATCCAATGACAAAGTATGTTCTAAGGTTTACATCCAATGACAAAGTATGTTCTAAGGTTTACATCCAATGACAAAGTATGTTCTAAGGTTTACATCCAATGACAAAGTATGTTCAGGTTTACATCCAATGACAAAGTATGTTCAGGTTTACATCCAATGACAAAGTATGTTCAGGTTTACATCCAATGACAAAGTATGTTCAGGTTTACATCCATCAACATAGATATGTTTTACGTTAACAACGAACAACATATGACATATAGTGTTTTCAAGGTGACATCGAATCACATATTGTTTCCATGTCTATATAATATGACATATTGTGTTTGGGTCTCTATGGTATTTTAAGGTTTACACACAATAACATAGTATTTTCATGACGACACTTATATTAATTATAGACTATTTTCCCGTTTAAAATTCAACGATACTGTGTTTTAATGCTCACATATAAAGGCATACAATAAAGTGCGCTCAGATTACTCTTATAAATACAATCTGATATAGGTTAAATTCAATAAGAAAATGATGTGTCCTGCGACTAGGAGCTTAATTCAATCACAGAATTGTGAGAATTAGACTCAATAACATAGTTTTGTTAGGTTAAAATTCAATTACATAATATACGACATCGTTTTGCTGCATATGATTACTTCAAATGACATAATTCTCAAGTTTACGTCAAATTACATAAAGTTCATAGGTTAACATGCAGTGTCATACTGTCTTGGGTTTCACATTGACTTCAATGACATTGTTTTCTAAGGTTAACAAACATTCAATGATATAAAATTTCCACTAAATGCCATTGTATTATCAGGTGCACATACAATGACTAATTATTATCAGACTTTGACTCAGCGACATATCTTTCCCATGATATGATAATGGGTTTAAAAATTTACTTAAAAGAGGGACGAAAGATACCAGAGGGACAGTCAAACTCATAGATCGAAAACAAACTGACAACGCCATGGCCAAAAACAAACAGACAAACAGACAAACGATAGCACAGATGACACAACATAGAAAACCAAAGACTAAGCAACACGAACCCAACCAAAAACTGGGGGTGATCTCAAGTGCTCCGGAAGGGTAAGCAGATCCTGCTCCACATGTGGCACCCGTCGTGTTGCTTATGTTACAAATCCGGTAAATAGTCTAATTCGGTAAGTCACATTCGTGAAAAGGGATGGTATTGTAGTTACGACATAAGGAACATATCCGATATCATCTGTGAAACGGTTATTCCATAACGGTCAACCAACTCGTGATGGCGTCCGTAAAATTTACGAAGGGATGATTTCAACTTCACCATTTGGAACTCTTGGCTTA